ACTTGTCTAAACTTTTAAAATTTGTAGCATATTTTGTCAAAAGTAGCTATGATGAAGATTTGGAATTTACAACAAGAGAAATTGAGAAATGTTTAAATAACATTCCACTTGACAATTGCAAGAAGTTTTCAGAGTATGAATGTGCAGAGTGTTATGGTGTGTAGTTTTAAAATAACCATTACAAATGTAAAAAAATGTGGTGAGTTGTGCAATTTGTTAAAAAAAATAAAACAACTTGTTCTTCATATTTTAATCATTTTTTTCATTTTTTAAACGTTTTAATATAATTAATGAAATTGACTCACAAATTAAATTTTATACAATTTGAAATCACAGAAATTCTAAATATGAATTGTAAACAACAAATTAGAGATAAAAAGAAATGTGTAAACGTGTAAATTGTTTAATAAAAAAACAGGAAAATTGTCATTCAAATTATAATTGTATAAATAATTAATATAATAATTTATAAATTAAAATAATCATAGTTTTAATGTTAAATTAATATATTATTCTCGATAATTAAAAAATTAGAATATTACAGTAGGGAAAATGGACCCGGTACTTTAGAAATGAATCCGAACCTTTAGTAAAAACTCCTAATGATTAGGGATTCTTCCCGTTGTAATAAATGTGCACAATTTGGAAACGACCAATCATTTTAACCCTTTGAAAAAAACTGAAACTTTACAAAATTGTCCAATCAATTCAAACCAATTTCATTTTTCTTTTTTTCAACATTTTTGTTATTTTCTCTCTTTGTTTCATTGCTCCAAAACATCATTAAATTACGGGAAATGTGTTTTTTTCAATTATGAAATGTAGAACATTTTCTATTATAATTAATGTTAAAAACCTTGTTTATAGAAAATGTTTTTTCATCTTGGTAAAGTCTTTTCGAATTAACAATCAACATGCAAAATATAAAACTTGTGGCTTAAGATTTTTTCTTCATCATATCTTAAACTTTGGATTCATGCAAATGGTATTCAACAATCCAGTGTGAATGGTAACAAATATTGAGGTGGTAAATTATTGTTATTTTATGAAAATATTTTGACAACCTACAATGAAAATGGACGACTTTACATGTTTACGTTATCCAATATGACACTATATAATAATTTTATGTTGTAATACCAAATTGTTCATGTTTTATTTCCAAACAGTTTAAAATGTTATTCCATTTTTTGTTTTTAAATGTTATTTAGAAAAAATAATTCTTTATAATCTTAATAGTTTTTAATAGCTTTATTATATATTCAGGGTTTATAAGTGATTAACTAAAATTTTTAATTATTTAAAAAAAATCGAAAAAAACAATTTATTTCATACTGTTTGTTTCATTCACATCTGTTTTATTAATCTGTTGGCATCCATTAACACAATAGAAAGCAACAACCTGAGTGATACAAGACCTCTCAAGTATTATTACTATGAGAGGTGTCTATAACTGGGTTTAAAAACCCAGTTAAAACAATCGAAATTTGCTGCAAATAGGGATAAGAGG